ATTCAATGTTAAATACCTTAATTTGCTTCCTAGCTTTGATATATATATATATATATATATATTTCAAATGCTCAAAGTTGAAAGTGGATACAAAATTGCTGCCTGCTGGAAGTGGGTGGTAATTAAACTCCGAGAAGAAACTGAGAAAAAGTAAATTATAAGATGAAGAAACTGAACCTAAGAGAATGAATTAAAAACAAGAGATGGAAGAGATGAGGAGCATACCTTTTGCCTTAAGGCTGAAACTTGAGCACTGGAAAGGAAGGACACAGAAACTTGGAGCAGAGGAGAGGGTGACATGAGATAAATGGAAAAACGAAAGGAAATCGTCTCTTGATTTGTTAGGCTATTCCTTTCGCAACGGGCAGAGCATTGGATGCTTTTGCTTTTTGACGAAGACCCACTAGAAAAAAGAAGAGTGTGATTTCTCAGTCTTTTCCTCTTTCCTTACATTTATTTTCTTCGTTTCCCACCAATGAAATGAAATTGTATTTCTTTGCAGGGCCCACCATGGTTTTATTTAAAGGATCCACTTGCAGGGGAAGCGTGAAGTTTAGTGGAAATTGACTAAGTATAACACGCCAAAGACCTTTGGAGGCCCCCATAATTTGCAGGAAAGCAAAAACATTAGTTTAAAGCATCTTTTGCGTTTTTAAAAGAAAAACTGAGCCAGAAATGAATCCAATTAGCATCTTAGCATCTTAAGCTTTTCAAGGCAAATTTTTTGTTTGGCAGATGAACATACCTTTTTCAAATAAAAGTGTTGTGGCTGGATTGCAAAACTAAACACATTGGATAGGGCGAGTCCCTGACATTGCTAATTGTTCTATCATTTAATGGTTTTGTTTTACAATTTGAATAAAATATTAATCTATGTAAATACTCTATCCATCTAAACACATTTACCATATGGTTATATAATTTTCTTGATTGTAAATGATTTGTTAGAATGTGATATTTTTTACCAAATAAATCTTAACAACATAGTACAGGAGCCAAAACTTTTTATTTGATACTATTTGAGTGTAGTGTCAAATATCTGATGTCAAAAAGCCAGTTTTCTAATCGTGCCATTAAGCGTGAATGTTCATATATATATATATGTGTGTGTGTATCCTCAGCTCATAGAGTTTGGTTAAATCCCCTACCCCTAAAATTGCCTTTGTTCAAAAAATAGACTCAGCATAATGATCTAATCTAACATTAAAATCTAATGCCATGAAACTAATTATTAAACCCATTAAAAATTTTAGGCCGAAAACCCGTTAACAAATTAAGCCTAGCAAAGGAAACAAAGCTCAAAACATAAATCAATAGTCCAAATCCAAAACCCAATCTAGGTCGGTCGATCTACTCTAATAACTAATAAGGCCCAAGGCAA